TCCAGCCAGGCCTGTACTAATTTTTCTAGAGAAACAACTGTTCATTTCCATTTCCCCTCAGTGACCCGCAGTGAACGCGCTACTATATGCCAAGCCCTAGATAACATTTTGTTTGTTTCTTCACCTGTTCCCTGGACACAGGAATGCCAGCTCTCCCTCCTCCCAGCTGAACCAAATCCTAACCATCCTTTAAGGCCTATCTCACGTCCTCCTTTCTCTAGGTAGCCTACCTTGACAATCCCAGCCCATAGTCCTCTTTCCTGTATTTGGGCTGGTCACTTACTATTGTGTGTTGATATATCTTTTAATGTTTATCCTGTCCCCCTAATTGCATTGTAATTGCATTGTCTGCTCCCATGAGGGAAATATTCAATCACAACGTGTGTGTGTGTGTGTGTGTGTGTGTGTGTGTGTGTGTTGCTTGCTAAAGGCACTCCTTAACAGTGGGCTAATTGATTGTGTAACTACTTTTCAACATTTTGAACCTCTTATTATTTTCTAAATATGTACCACTTTAACAAATGTGCCTCTGAGGCACACATTATTTATTATACCAAGATTTCAAATATCGGTATTAATATGCACATGGATTTATTTATTTATTTATACACATCGTTTTAAACATGGACATTTAACACAGGAGTTTGTCCTTTGAACTCTCCTCACCAACATTTTCTTTTCTGGAATGTGGGTAAAAAAATAAACTTATCACACTTATTATTCTACTTTGTGAGCTCGAAAGGATTGGAGAAAGGCCTGACTAAGGCTAAATCTTTCCCTTGTCTCTTGGGCATAGCTGAAGGGTCATCAGGAAAGACTGTACTGCTGAGGAGTCCAGTAAAATCTCCACCATTGACTAACTATTGACTAACTGTGCTACTTTGGGTGAGACCCTCATGGCTTGTGCTTCAGTGGCCTCATCTATAGAAAGGGGGGAAAAGGGTGCCTGGGTGGCTCAGTTGGTTAAGCATCTGACTCTTAATTATGGCTCAGGTCATGATCTCATGGTTCATGGGATTGATCCCTGGGTTGGGCTCTGGGCTGACAGGGTGGAGTCTGCTTGGGATTCTTTCTCTCCCTCTCTCTCTGCCCCTCCCTTGTTCTCTCTCTCTCTCTTTCTCAAAATAAAGAAATAAACTTAAAAAAAAGAAGAAGAAAAGGCTATGATACCAGCTGAGCCTGAGGTCATGTAATGCTCAGGAAAATGTTCTGAGAACTCTAAAGGTCTGTCTAAATGTTAGGTCTTATCATTGTCATCATCATATTACCAACATCTGATCACTTTATCACCCCTGCCACCATGTGCCCTCAACTCAAGCATCAAGATGAGAAATGCTTATTGGAGCTGGTGACTTTTTATAGGAGGCATCAATCTGCCATTTCCCAAATGTGAATGGTTCATTGGTCATACATACCTTCTTTTGTACATTACAACTTCTGAGGTCACTGAGTGGCGTAGACCATTTACCTCTCTTGCAGCACCAGGATCCCTTCTGGGTTTTGTGACTCCTGCTCTCACTGCTGCAGTGGGTCCTTTGGATTATAAAATGTCTCTGGGGAACGGACTGGGAGTTTTAGTTTAACCTTGTGAGCAGGTGGTCTTGCATATAGTTATTTTTCCAAACCTAAAAACACTATAAAACACACCATTATTTCAAAAATCCCTAAGAAAGGAAGAGCTAACAGTTTTCAAGTATGATATACCATTGCTTATAGACGCGTTCCTATTTCAGAGTTGTAGAAATGTGGAAAATGAGTGTCTGGGAATCACATACAGTGGGGCGATTGCTATAGGAGTCTGCTTGGAGTCTCCCCAGCCCCAGCCATGGTGGGTCTCGGGATCTCTGTGCTCTCCCCACCCCTCCGCCCCAGCCTGCTTTGCACACATATTCTGCTAAGCACTCCCAGGCTGAGCTGCGACTGGCTGACGTCCTGCTTCTCCCAGGCTTTTCGTTCTGTGTCTTGTAAGGGCATCAGGAGGAGGAGCTGGTATGGGCACAGGGCGAGGACAGGTGATGCCACCCCCTTTGTCCCCTTGTTGCTATGTTAGTTCAGCCTGGTAAGAAAATGCCCCAGAGGCAGACCCTTCCCCGTCAGAGGAGGCACACCCCTGGGCTTACACGTTCTCTTAGCCAGAGGCACTGGAAGATCAAGTGCCCACGTGAAGGTTTTCCCAACCCTGAGTGGCTCCTGTTTGGTGAGGGTTCATCAGGTGAGAGGGGCCTGCCAAAGTGACAGTAACCTGATGCACGAGGCCTGGGCCTAAAAGCCTTTTTTTTCTCGATGATAGATGCAACGGCTGGAGGAAAGCAGAAGGTCCGAAGCTATTTGTAGCATAAGGCCCGATCCCTGCTCTTGCATGCACGGGGTGGGGGCAGGGGTGGTCACCCGCGTTCTCAGGTGTCACTGCCAACGGCAGATATTTCAGCACCTCTTTTCCTTCAAACGTCTTGGGTTTCAGAGAGGGAGGTAACTGGACCCTTCACATTTGTTACAGTAATGCTGTTTCAGGCCCTGTTCCTTGACCTTACAAGTCACCTGCTCCTCCTGAGATATTGTCACCCTGTGGGGTCAGACCTCTACTATCCAGACTTTGCTGACAATTTTGGGAGTGATGTGCCGCTCTAACTCTTGTTTATCATTTACTGTGGCTCTTTGGGCAGCTTTTGGTAGCCAAGTATGTCATGCTATAGTGGCTGCGGAAAGGGTTTAACTACTTTCATTTGCACAATGAGTTAGAAGGTTCTGTGGATATTGCCTCTGACCCCTGAAAGGTTGTTTAATCTCTCCATAACCTTTCTGTCTGCAGTATAAGTCTGTTCTCTAAGCATTTAGGAGGAGAGGCTTTTCCGTGGCTTCCCAGCCCGACCTCAGTAAGCCCAAACTCCTTAGTAGAAAGAACACTTGTAGCTGAATCAGTCAGGACTCTTGGCTCAAACTAGCCCAGGGAAATCAGTTCATGACTCACATAACTGAGAGTCCAGGGTGGATCTAAAGCTTCAGACAGAGGTATATGCGGGGGTTCAGTCAATGTCTTCTGGGCCCTGTCTCTCTCTCTTGTCACCTCCTGTCTTCAGGTCCCTCACTGTCATGGCTTCACTCTACAGGCACCCTGTGTTCAGAAAGTGGGGAAGATGGCGACCCACATCCAAACTGATATCCTTTCGAGCTAGGAAGAAAGAAGCCTTTCTTTTTTCTGTTATTGTTGTATGAAGACAAGGAAGTATGTGTCCAGCCCTGGACCAGTTATTCATGTCGGGTCTGATTAGCTGTCCCCCGAGCCATGTGCCCACCCCACGACTGTGGATGCCTGGATGCAGTGATGACAGCCCCATTGGGACCACACACAGTGAAGGAGGGGCAGCTGTCCAAAGGCAATATGGGTGGTGGGTATATAAAAACACCACCTGTCTTCTATAAAGGTCCTGTATGGTTTGGCCCCTTCTATCTGTCAGGCTCCTCTTAAGATTCCCGAGTAGCCTCTTACCTGCCAATCAGACTGGACTTTTTTCTTTGATGAAGATCTGACTTCAGCTCAGCACCTTATTTTCTTTGCCCCCAGTGTCCCCTGGAATTTTTTCTTCCCGTTTTACACTTGTCAAAATTCTACACAGTCTTTAAGCCTTAATTAAAAAGTTACTTCCTTCCAGACTTTTCCCTGTATTTCCAGTCCTTCCACATGGCAGTCAAAGGATTCGGCTGGCAGCCCATTTATAGAACTTACCTGTTCTTCCCTCTATTTGCACCTTCTTACGCGTCTGCCCCAGAAATGCAAAGATCAAACTAACCAATTAGTATTCTACCCGTGTTACGTGGGAGATATGCAGTAGAAATGTGTTGGATGGATAATTGTTCTCTCAAGATCTTTTTTGAGAGGATCTCGAATATCGGATCTGCCCAAAGACACATGCACATACTTGTCAGAGCTTGAGGCCACGTATGTACTATCTGCTTCCGGATAAACACATAGCACTTTTGTATATTTCCAGCAGCACTTTGGGAATGACCTTGTTATTGTAATTACAAGTATCCTGTCTTATATGGTGACTTTTCCATCTTGGGATTAAGGAGCAGAACAAGCTGGGAGCCAGGTCATGGAAGAAAATCTGTCAAGCCAGTAAACCCCCGCAAACTGGGTGGATTATAGGACTGAATCACATCATCTCGAGACAGGAACAAAAGCTAGGAGAGGTAGCTGAGCTTAATGGGTAAGAATGCGCCCTCCAGGTTTGAGGCTAGTTCCCACTGCTCATTAGCTATGTGACCTTGGGCAAGTTAACTAATATCTCTGAGCCTTGGTTTCTTTGTAAAATAGAGACAATAGAGCTTTTCTGTGGCAAGATGATCCGTGAAAACAAAACAAGATATCGCATGCAGAGTACCTAACATAATACCTGGCTTCTAGTAGGTGCTGCCCCTGCCTCTCACACACACACACACACACACACACACACACACACACACACACGTGGTGGTACAAATAATTGCATTAAAGAATGGTCTCTCTCTGTTCTGACTGGTTATCTGGCTACTACTGTTGCTCTCTAATGATCAGAATGATGACGACGGTGAGAGGTGGGAATATGTGGATGGCCAGGAGCCAGCCACCTCTTTTGAGAGCTGCAGTGCTGGTGACGGCAGCACCAGTGGATGACTAGATGACGGGTTTTTATTTCCACTGCATCCAAAATGTGCAGTTAACCATGGAGAAAGAGGAGTGCAGAAATCCCCTTTGTCCAGATGACACCTGGTGTGTGGACCAGCCCCCATCTCTGGCTGAAGGAGCTGCATGTTCAGGGAAGGAGACTAAGCCATTTTCTGGATTAACTCTGTTGCCTATTTGTAATAACCTAATTGTAGGCTCTACAGGAAAGGAACCCTAGAAAGTGGTCCACTGCCAGAATGATGATGACTCCTGGAACTTTCTCTGATTCTTATTACCCCTTCCTACCTTGCCCATCATCTTATGTATTCAAATGCTTTTTGTATTTATACAGAACAGCTACGATGCTTCACCCAGACCATTGCACATCACGTCAGAGAGGAAGACACATGTGTGATTCATTTTCTTAAGCCTCAAATCGAAAGATTTACCTAAGGACCCAGGAATGTCATGAGGTAAGCTTTGGAAGTGTCTGAGGTGGTGTGGTGATTATCGATTGGCAGACTCACTCCTCTTCCATTAATTGGCTATGGGTTTGCATTTACAAACGGTGACTCGCCGTGTTAATAATCTGACGGAATATTCTAGAATGTAGAGAAAAGTAAATGGATGCTCATGAGTATGCTTATGCCCTGTGTAGCAGACCTGGACATCGAAGGGATGCCCTCAGGAGTCATAGAGTGTTGGGATGGAGTCAGGGCTGGAGAGCTTTAAAGGTTATCTATGCTGACCCGGTCATTTTACAAATAGAGCTCCAAAGAAGCAGTACTTTCTGTCCAGAGCTCCCCAAGCGTTTATTTAGTTTCTCTCTTCACTTTAGGACTGATCGCATTGCATCGTGATTATTTACATGTCCGTCTCCCTATCTCAGTTCAGTTTCTTTCATCTGTACAGAACTCAACTGTAACTACTATAAGCAAAAAGGGAACTTCATTGGCTCAGTAACCAAAGAGTTCAGCTAGATCCAGAGGTTCTAACAATGCTCTTGAGATCCAGTCTCTCTCCATTTCTCAGTTTTGCCTTCCATTGAGCTGGCTCTGTCACTCAGGCATGCTTTGCCTGGTAAGGACAAATGACTGCCTGCAGCCCCATAGATAGATGTCCCAGCTCCAAATCCAGAAGAAAAAAGAAGACACATTTGTCTGCTGAATTGGCTCACGTTGGCTGTGAATCATTCCTGAAGAAGTCACGTGGCTCCAATTGGCTGGGCCTGAGGCACATGCCCTGAAGTTGGGGATGGGGTCAGTCCTACCTAAACAGCAAGCAGTGAGGGGGAGGATGGGTGCTCAAACAATATATGGGGCCCCATTGTTAGAAAGGAGGAAGAACGGAAGCTGAGCATACAAAGAAAAATAAATAGCCACTACTCTTTCAACTAGAACGTGAACTCTTCAATAGAAGGACAGTACCCATGAATTTTGCTTCTACTGTTTCCTAGGGCACTCCTACCCATGACTGGGAAAGCAGAGACTCCTACATGGTGACTATAGTGAATTTCTAGCTGTGGGAAGAGCTGGGCTAATTCCTCGTGTGAGGCTTTCACTCCCATGCGATTGCCTATAGGTGACATGGATGTCAGCTTCTGGAAAGGTTTAAAATCATCTATGCTTTTAGCATTTTCTCCCTTCCATGTAAATGATTTATTTAAGAACGTATTTTAACTTTGCTGTTCAAAGTCAGAAACATCAACAGCCTTGGTTTTGGCCAACGCCATGTTCTTTGGCAAAGTGATGGCACTTTGGTAGTTCTTCATAGCTTACAGGTATGCCAAACCTGTAGTTATAAGTAGGGATTCAAGCTGGCTAAATGTATTCGTACTCGACACATCTCACGCGTGTCTTCAGATTCTCTCAGCTTTGCCTCCAGGCTCTCAGCTGTTCTGTCTGCTCGGTTCCTGCTGTGGCTTTCACTCTCTGAGGGCTGACATCGTTCCGCGGCCTGACGCCATACTGTCCCACACCCACCTCTCTGGGTTCTCTGTGACATTCCGACTTGGATGGAATTTTATGCCCTGCAGGCCATGGGCTGTGTCCTAGAGAGTAGATGACGCAACCTGGAAGTGTGGGGTAGTAACTCCCCATGGTGCACCCTTTGACCAATGGCAAACAGGAGATGGGTAGGAATTTGGTAAAAACATTTCCTCTCCCTCCTCCCTCTCCGGACTCTTTGAGGCCCACCATGAAGCATCACTTGGCCTTGCTTTTTATCCTTCCCAGCCTCGCTTCTCTTTCCTTTCACTTTGGTTGCCCTGAGACTACACCTGCCAAAAAAGCAACAGAACCTAATTCCTCCTTCTGGCTCTGTTTTCTAGGATACCTGGTCTAACACATTATTCTGTTTCTATTTATCCCATTTATCCTCAAAGCTGCAGAAGAGGTTTTTAAGTCCAGTCATCTTGATTAGCTTTAATAAAATGGGGTTTCTATTTCTTTGCCTATTTGTAAGATGAGTAAACTGAGGCACACAGTGGATGTAACTTGGTCAACATTATAGGCTTAATCCCTGGGCCACTTACACACAAAATCCGAGTTTCCCATCTCCTCATTGAATGTTCTGCACCCAATCACAAGTCAAGCCTCGATCTGCAAGTACAAAGTGTACAGAATAATTGGAGCAAATATCCCAATCATTCAACCAAACCTAAAATAGCTACATAATTGAGCTCAATGTCTCCACTTCACACTGGGACTCTGGGAATAGCCAAAGACATGCTACTCAAATCTTGCCATTGTGTTGTTATAAGTGCTACTGATGGTGGTGGGTATATATATTTTTAAACAATTGATTTCGTTTCTTTTAAAAAATTTTTTAAAAATGTTTATTTACTTTTGAGAGAAAGAGAGACAGAGTGTGAGTGGAGGAGGGACAGAGAGAGAAGGAGATGCAGAATCTGAAGCAGGCTCCAGGCTCTGAGCGAGCTGTCAGCACAGACCCCAACGTGGGGCTCAAACCCACAAACTATGAGACCATGACCTGAACCAAAGTTGGAAGCTTAACCAAATGAGCCACCCAGGCCCACCCCAGTTGATTCCATTTCTTAAAATATTTTGCCAAATTCCTTTGCTTTTTAACTAATGGAGATGAAAATTAAGTTTCAGCAAAGATAGTAGACTCTTCACAGGAGGAGAAATGTCGTAATTACACATAAAACATTTCAAACTTTCCTGGAGGCTTACAATAAACATGAAGGTAAAGTTAATTAGTAAGTGTAGATTTTGTGCTCTGGGGTTTTACTGATTTCAAAGTGACTCCTTCCCATTGTTATGTGTTTGCTAAAATGCGCTTTTTAAAAAAGATCTGAAATTATACTCAAATACTTATAGAAAACCAGTAATAGAGAGAAATCTATGCCAAAAAAAAAAAATTCTGGTGATAGGATAAGCTCCAATCCTAGCCTCAAGGGAAAACGTTAGAGTTTCTGAACTCTGTGTGATGGCTGATATTTCGCATGGGGAGCGGGTGCTTGAATTGCCCTGATTTATATAGAAATTTTTAAATTCATAGTTGTGGTATATTGGAGATCCTACTCTCAAGTATTTTCATTAAAAATTTTTTAAAGTTTATTTTATTTTGAGAAAGATACAGAGAGCAAGTGGGGGAGGGGAAGAGAGAGAAGGAGACAGAATTCCAAAGGGGCTTTGTGGTGTCAGCACAGAGCCTGATGGGGGGCTCGACCTCACAAATAGTGAGTTCATGACCTGAGTTGAAATCAAGTCAGAGTCTTGACTGACTGAGCCACCCAGTTGCCCCTCAAGTATTTAAAAACAATTTTTTAAAAATATATATATTTTTAATTTATTTCCGAGAGAGAGAGAGAGACAGCATGATCAGGGGAGGGTCAGAGAGAGAGGGAGATACAGAATCTGAAGCAGGCTTCAGGCTCTGAGCTAGCTGTCAGCACAGAGCCCGATGCGGGGCTCCAACCTGCGAACCGTGAGATCATGACCTGAGGTGAAGTTGGATGCTTGACTGACTGAGCCAACCGGGTGCCCTTCCCCTCAAGTATTTTGAAAGCATGGTTGGGGAGCTGATGCTCAGAATGCAGTTGCTTCATCAGATGCCACAGTGCACGTTGACCTGCAAGGGACAGTGCTAGTCCAGCGTGCAAGCCACTCCTACACACTAGCAGCCCAAACTGTAAATGTCACGCCAACATTAAGAGCACAATAGTGCCTTCTGACACCTGCTTAGAAGTGCATGAGTGGTGACTGTTCTAGAACGACAGCCAATTATATAAATATTTCAGGTACTTAAAGTAGAAAAAACTCTGGGCTTAAATGAATGTGCATCTAAAAGAACCGAAGAAACGTCTTAATTTGCTCGATGTTTCCAAACATATCAGTTTGGAAAAAGATGGGTTTAGGTTTGTGATTGGCTCCCAGCCTGGGTTTTGCTTTTTCTTGGAGCTTGGGTCACGGAACAAAGAAGGAAAAAGATTCAGACTTCGTAGAAAATTAGGCAGTCAGAGAAAGGCCACAGGTGTATTCTAGGCTACCAAGACCAATATGAAATACTATTCACATGACATAATTGGGAATTACAGAAGGACAGTGCCTAAGCCATGGTGGAGACTGCTAGAAAAAAAGGCATTACATCTTTTAGACCTTTTTTTTTTTTTTTTTTTTGAGAGACAGAGAGAGAGAGAGAACACTGAAGGGACAAAGAGAGGAAGAGAGAGAATCTCAAGCAGGCTATGCACTGCTAATGCAGAGCCTGATGTGGGCTCAACCCCAGGAACCAGGAGATCATGACCAGAGCCGAAATCAAGAGTTGGACCTCTTCACTGACTGACACCGTAGGTGTCCCAAAGGTGTGATATCTTTTTGCATCTCCCCTGTCACCCTTTGCTGAAATGATGGGTCAGGTGATGATCAGTTCTTCTGGAAATCTGGGAATTTATCAGGTTCTGATCAAGTGTATGAAACAAATGGAAACAAGAGGAGCCAGGTTTTTCTCTCTTGATTCTCTCATCTCTAGAGTCGTAGAAGAAACTTGGAGATTTCAAAAAGCTGTCCATTTCCCAAGAAAGATAAGGAGGTTCCAGAAAGGAACAACAATTGTCTATTTAGTGTTGCGAACTCATCAACGCTACTTGACAGAGAAGGAAATGGTGCAGAACAAGAAAACTGAGCTTTGAACCTTGGAACGTTTTTAAACAAATATCTTCTGCCAAACACTCTTTAATATCTATCACTGCCTCTGAAATTGTAATAAAAATACCATGAAATTCAATGAGACACATTCACTTTCAGTATACAAACAATGCCAAGCTTTTGGTCCCAATTAAAGACATGTTTTTCCAGGGCGTTACGCTTTGTGAGAATTTGTTTTCTCACAAAAGGTTAAGCAGCACTTTTGTATGAACTGCTTCGGTTTCTAAATGCATAAAACTAATACATGTTAAAAGGTAGCAAAAAGATTGTGGGACAGTTTGTACTAAATTAGCTCCTTTAGG